GTGCTCTCCCGGGCGCCAGCACGAGGACGGGGGCGCGGCTGCCACCCCCACCCCCCGCGTACGGCAGGCTCGTGCCGTGACGACCCGCGCGGTGGTTTCCGACACCGCGTGGATCGCGCGACCTCGAAGGCTCGCGGCTCTCCGATGGCAGCTCGTTCGATCTCGGTCGCTTCCGGGCTCAGCCTTGCATGCCCTCGCTGGGGTCGCCGCCTCGCCGACACGACACGACCCTTCCGTACCCCTCCTGTCTTCATCCTCCTGCTTCCTCTGTGAGGGCGAACGTCTCGGGGAGACCGGCCAAGGGGGGGAACACCGATCGACCTGAAATCGGCGATACGTCGATGATCGATCGGACCTCTCGATAATGGATCCGCAACTTCCTGGGCGGGCTGGGCTATCGGGCACCCGTCGGAAAGTAAAACCCACCAGCCCTCTAGGCGCAGGTGGCCTAACGATGTCTTTCCTTCCTATTCAAAAACCCTTCTTCCTCTTCGGGGAGGGGTTTATTACTGTTTGCTATTACTATACACCCCCTCCCCTTCCCGTCCGGCGGCCAACCAAGAGCCATGCTCACCCCACCCCGCGATCCCTGTAAAAAACATAACAAAACGCACTCCGCCTCCACATGTGGAGCATGCGCGGCCAACCCGATGTGGCCCTCCCCAACCATCCCTGTCCAAAAACACTACACATGAATTACATGTTTGTGCAACACCTTGAGCCATGTTCGTGAGGCCCGCAAGCACCTTGTATTGTCTTTGACAGGGACAGTGGGGGTGTCAGCATATTGTCTGAGTGCACAGGCCAACGATCCCTAACAAACAATACACACAGCACCTCGCGGCTAAATCTAGATCATGCGCTGCCAACCCGCGATCACTGTCAAGCTGTTCTGACAGGGACGGCGGGGGTGATGGCGTGTGGCCTGCTGTGCGCAGGTCCGCCAGACACTAGCATGGGCATCGGCTTTCGTAAAGGATGGTAGGGGGCCGACGCGTTTCCCGATGTGTGATGTCACGTGCGCAGGCGCGCCTGACACACTCTCACATGCCCCGAACGTGGGTGGCGCACCCGGCGCGGCTGGAGCATGCGGCCACATGACGCACGTGGGTCCCTGGCGTGCCTGGGGCGCGTGGCGCGCCTGGCACGCGTGGCGCACCTCGCCCCAGCGTCGCGCACATGCGGTCGGTTCTGGTTACCAGTAGCTGTCCATCCAAAGACGCCCGCTGAACATGCTCAGGCTCGGGTGTTACTCATATGTTGGGAGGGCGGGTGGGAGTGAGCTAGACGACCTGCTATATGGGTGATGTCTTGATCACCGTTCCCTATTAGTATACACCCCCTCCCCCACCCGTCCGGCGGCCAGCCCGGAACCATGCCAACCACATGATGGCCACCCTCCCCACCATCCCTGTCAAAAAAACATAACAAAACGCACTCTGCCTCCACATTTGGAGCATGCGCGACCAACCCGATGTGCCCCCCCTCCATCCCTGTCAAACAAGAAAACGAAATACACGTTGGGGCAAAGTCTTGAGTCATCTCCGTGAGGCCCAAGAGCACTTCGTATTGTTTTTATCAGGGACGGTGGGGGTGTCGGCATATTCGCGGCTGTGCGCAGGGCTGCCATCCCTGACCAACCAACAATACACAATGCACCTCACGGCTGAATCTAGATCATGCGCGGCCACCCCGCGATCACTGTCAAGTGGTTTTGACAGGGACGGCGGGGGTGGTGGCGCGTGGCCTGCTGCGCGTAGGCCCACAAGACACAATGATGGGTACTGGTTTTCGAACAGGATGGTGGGGGCCGGCATGTTTCCCGATGTGTGCTGTCACGTGCGCAGGCGCACCTGACGCACTCTGCACGTGCCCCGAACGTGGCGCACCTGGGGCAGCTGGAGAGTGTGCGGCACACCTGGCGCACTCGGAGCACGTGGCGCATCTGGCGTACCAGGCGTGCCTGGCACGCTCGGGCCCCTGGGGTGCCTGGGGCGCGTGGCGCCCCTGGCACGCGTGGCGCACCTCGCCCCTGGCACGCGTGGCGCCCCTGGCACGCGTGACGCTAAACATGCTCAGGCTCGGGTGTTACTTATATGTTGGGAGGGCGGGTGGGAGTGAGCTAGACGACTTGCTATGTAGGGTGAGTAGCTTGACCCCTCCCCCTAACCCTTCCCCTGGACCTGGACGGGAGGTTTCGCGAGCGGTCATGGGGTTCAAGATAGCTTGAGATGGCTCCAAGAGGGCCTCAGAGAGCCCAAGATGGCCTCCAAGATCGCTCAAGATAGCCCAACATGGCTCAAGACAGCTAACAACATGCCTCAAAGAGGCCCCAAGAGAGCCGCAAGACGGTTGCAGGTGCTTTTGGCGACCCCTCAGGACCTCCCCGAGAAGCCACAATGTTTCAAACACCTCAGGAAATTAAATGATGCTTGCCTTCTCACCTGTTCGCTTCTGATGCGCTTTCGAGGCCTCAAGATGGCCCCGAGATGGCCCAAGAGAGCTCCAAGAAGGGCCCAACAGGCCCCCAAGACTAGACACCCAAGATCGCCCCTAGAGGGCCCCAAGGACGCCCAAGAGGCTATTTCGATGGCCCCGGAGGGGGGAGGGAAATCGAGGATCCCCCCCTCCTTTGATCGATGGTCTCCAAGATGGCCCCAGGAGGCGCTGCGCCAAGAGGGCCCAAGAGGACCCCAAGACGCCTCAGAGAGCCCAAAGAGGGCCCACAAGAGCTCCAGGAGGACCCCAATACCCCCCAATATAGCCCCGTAGCTCCAAGAAAGTCTCCGATGCTCCAAGGTAGCCTCCATGATGGCTCAACACCCTCCTTCCTATCCTGTCCTTGCACGCTCTGCTTCACGCTGTGTCTCTTTGTCCCCTTCCCCGCCAGCTCCCACGGGCAGTGCTTCTGCGTGGGCCGGTGGGGATTCCCGAAGCGTAAACAGTTGGCGATTGGAGGTCGACGCGCCCCCACCTGACATTCCCCTAACGTTGCCCCCGACGTTCATGCTCCTCGTGATGTTGCTCGTCGTCGTCCTCCTCTCCTCCTCCTCCTCCTCCTCCTCCTCCTCCTCCTCCTCCTCCTCCTCCCCCACCTCCACTCTCCTCAGCATCCCAGGCTGTTTCCCGACAGTCAGGGCCCCTTGCTCCCCATCGCGGCTGCCGGGCGCCGGGAAGAGGCTCCCGAGGAGGAGGGGGTGCCGATGCGGAGGAGGAGAAGAGGGCGAGGCGGAAGCGGGGCAGGGGGCAAGGACTGGGCCGAGCGTGTCGCCACACGTTCCTCGTTGGGCCAGCCCAGGGGCTCGCGCGAAGGAGCCTCGCAGCGTCGCTGGGAGGCCGTCGCCCCCCTCCGCGCCCACGCCGGGACCCGCCCCGCCGCGGGGAGGACCGCCTGCGCGGAACGGCGCGCAGCCAACTCCCTCGCGTGAGCGCACGTGCGCTGCAGGGCCGTGCTGCCCGCTGGCTCGCAGCACGAATCGGGGCATCCCCGGTCGCCCTCTGCGCCTCTCGGAGAAGTCGGGGGAGGTCCGAGGTGCGCAGGGGGCTCCGCGGCAGCGTGCGCAGGGGCGGGCCGAAACGCTCTTCACACGCGTGCGAGGCACGGGAGGAGCCCCGGGGCACAGAGACAGAAGAGACGACGAAGAGACGGCACGTCAGGGGAGATGCGGGGAGGGGAGGTCGGGGAGAGCGGACGCGGGTGGGCCAACACACTCCAAACCCCAGTAGGGGACGGCAGCCGCGCCGAGGCGGACGCGGCGAGCGCGCCGTCGCACCATCCGCGCAGAACGCCCGCCACCGCTCAGGCGCGCCAGGGACCGGCACGCTGGCGCGCGCAGCGCGCTGGGACAACGAGGTCTGGCCCGCTCAACCGAGGCCGAGGCTTGACAGGGTGGGTCACCGCTCGAACTCGTTGCCAACGATGGGCGGCGTCCCTCACCCCGCTGGCCACCTTTTCTGGGACAACTCAAGGGAGCTTCCCGTGTCATCTTGCTGGCTCTTGTGCATCGACGCTAACAGACGCTGGCCGACGCGAATCGGCGCGACATCGACGCCAAACCGACGCGAATCGCTGCTAAATCAGCGCCTTGTGATCCATTACCGCATACGATTGCACCTCAGTATGGTCTAAGGACGGCACTTCGACGATATGCCAGGCTCCAAAGAGTTGCTGCCGAACCACCACCGTCCTGGCAAGGCCGTTGGCATTGAACTTGAGCAGGAACTGACCATCCCAGCACTCCCGCAAGCTTACCACGACATGCTTCTAGAACGAAACATGTCAGAATACTCCAGATTCCGTAATAAAAGGGAGGGGGTCTGGACCCTCCAAGACAAGCCATTTCAGACCCCCCCCCGTTGGAGAACCCTCCAAAACATCGTCCCCAGACCCCCCCAGGCCCTCCAAGATAGCCTGGAAGCGACCCCCTCCCGAAATGAGACCCCCCTCGCTTGATTACGAAATCTGGAGTAACCAGACACCATATTCTTGAACGCAACTCTCGCCACCCGCAGAAAGCCCCTCCGACCGGGAGCGCCTGGCCGACCTGCCGCCTGGTGGGGCACCGGCACACGCGTGCGCGTGAGCGTGTGCGAGCCGGGGCTGCTTTCAAGAAGGCCTGACCCAGTGGCTTGCGCCAAACGGCGGCGGAAGGGAGGAGGAAGAAAGGGCGGAGGAAGGAGGAAGGAACCGCGAGGGAAGAGGACCTCTATCGAAATCTCCCCACGCAAACTTCCAAAGTAGCGCCAGAACCTCTCCCTCACCCTACGTCGTGAATCGCCCGCCACTGCGGCGTGCCTACTGCTGCGCAGAGCCTTGGATGGGATGACGTGTGTAAAAAACTAGGCCTCCCTAGGCGCACGTGCCCATATGAATTCAAAGCGACGCCAAAGGCGGACACCATACGGCGACTGCCCTGCTGACTCGCCAAACGCTGGGAGATCAGTCGCGTGCACGTGCACCGTCGGACTGTCGCGAGGCGTCCGCCGACGCAGTCGAATTCGTCCGTGTAGCTGGCGGGTACTCGCATATGTGGCACTCAATGGTATACAATCATGAAGCTGTCACAGGGAATACTTGACAGGGAACGAATGGGCTTCCACGACGAGCCTCGGCCACAAAAAAGGTCCCAAGACATAGCTCGAAAAACCGGCCCGAAAACCAGAGCTTACTCTGAACCTAACGTGGTCCTTTTTTCAGCGTCTTGACTGTGCACCCTGTATGTGCTTCGCGAGCGCGGCCGTGAACACAAAAACACCGTGAAATGACACCATGGCACCATGTCGAATCTTAGGACCTGCTTGCGGCACAACTGTATACCATCAAATTGACGATCGGCCGACAAACCGACCGAGAGACGGACAATAGAGACAAAGAAAAGACACGCATGTGCGTTTGTTATGTACGCATAATGGCGTTGGCGCGTGGGTGGATGTGCCCACCGAGGCGCCGCCCACACCAACTGGAATGTCGTCAAGTTCCGTCGGGTTCCGTACATCGAGTATTTGCAATTATCTGTAAGGGACCCAGGCCCAGAAAGTCCTGGGCGTTCCTGGGCGCTTCTGGGGACTGTCGCGCGTTAGTTCACAAAGCTGTCTTGCAAGTTTTCGGCAATTGGGGAGGGGCCCTGCACATTACAACCAACAAAACAGTTTGGTGGTACCCTCGTAAAGCCCCAATGACGGTGCGACGGTGGCTAAAACGGGGCACAGTGGAGGCCCAGCCACAAGAAACCTTCCACAAGAAACCCAACGCTGAGACCCCAAGAAAATCATTGATTTTTGGTGTGGGAGCGTCACGCTTTACAACGCAAAACCATCGGAGCCCAAGAAACCAAGAACACCCTGTAGGCAAGCATGGTGTTTCTTGGCATGAGCCCCCACTGTAGATGAGATGGCGGTGCTGTTGTTGTTAACGGCGGCGGTGCCCGTGGCTCTGTGCGCAGGGCACCTGCCACTCCCGGGAACCTGATGCCCGAGGGTGTTTGCGGGCGGGAAGTCTGAAACGGCCGGCCGCCTGAACCCAGATGGCCACACGCGTCAGGCCACGAGGACGGTGTGTATATATGTATATATGAATATCTACATATATATATATATAAACATATGGATATGCTCGTGGCGCGGCTGCCGCGAACCGCGTCCGACAGGAACTCCAGGCCTAGTTCTCTGCGCGGGCAGCCGGGAGGTATGCCTCCTAAAGCTGGTCGCCATATTCTCTGTAAGGGTGTGGCCGGGATATATGCCAGCAGCGCACGGCCAGGGTGCCTGGCCGGAATGACTGAACGGTCACCTCAGGAACATCCTCTACCCCCCCAGGGGGGGGGGAAGGGAGGGGGAGGATGAAGGGAAAGGGGGAGGAGGGGAAGAGAGGGGGAGGGAAGGGAGAGGGGGGGGGGACGGAAGAGGAAAGAGGGGGAGGAGGGGGGGGGCCGAAGGGTGGACCTCGAACGGCGGCGAGACAAGGGGTTTGAGCCAACCTGGCAGTCTGGCAGCATGTAAATTGACAAAGACCTCGTCACCCTGCGTAGACCCAGTTGTCGCCGAGGCGGATGCCCACCCCATGCGTCCCTGCTGGAGGGTCTGGAAGTGGTGGGAAGCGTTCGCGATAGGCCTCGGGGTGGGGTCTCTTCATTATTCGCCACGCTGTGACGCGTAAGAGTAGTCTGTGGTGGGTCAGCGTGAGGTCCAGCGATGCGCCTGCGAGCCATGGCCGGGGCGGCACGACTAAAGTCCACCACAGGGAATCGACGGCCTGTTCGTACCATTCTCCAGCTTTCCGTGGTCTCCCGACGCGTTTGGGACCATAGTCCCATGGCTGCAGCGTGTATGGGTCGAACGTACAGGAGGCGACTGGGTCAGTCGCGGGCACACAGCATTTTAATATATGCATGTATGTTTATACGTATACGTATACGTATATGTATATGTATATGAATATGAATATGTATACGTATACGTATACGTATATGTATATGTATGTGTATATGTATATGTATATGTATATGTATATTATATGTATATGTATACGCCTATGTATACGTATACGTATACGTGTGTGTATGTGTATATATATATGTCTGTGTATTTAAATGTAGGCATGCACACATATATATATATATGTATAGAATCGTGTTGGCACACGGGGGCTTATCCTCGGACAGACCCAACAACGGTGCGACAGAGGTAAACAAATATATGGATGAGGTGACGGCGATGCCTCGATTACGGGTGGCGGTGCTGGGGGCCCTGTGCGCAGGGCGCTTGCCACTCCCAGGAATTTGATACTCTGGGGTAGCTGCGCGCTAATATTCTGAACTGCCCACCGCCTGAACCCAAATGGCCACACACGTCGGGCAAGGAAGGGGATGCATGTTCGTTTCGGCGCACGGTGGCGCATCGCCGCAGAGATCGAATAGCGGTGCGATGGAAGTAGAAAGGGGATGTATGAAGTGACGGCGACGCCCCTTTCACGGGCGGCGGTGCCGGGGGCGCCAGGGACCTTCAACCCACGAGAATATGTTGCCCCCCTCTGCGATGGGAGTGATATACCCCTCAAACAAAATAGAAGGGGGGATCGGATACCTGGAGGTGGGAGGGGGATGCCGTGGCCCCACCACTGGTCGTTACGACCGCCGAGGGCCCGTCCGCATTCTCACCTCGCCCGTATTTCCCTTTGTTTTTACGATGCCGCCGCCGCTGCTCGCTGCTCGCCCGCGCTCAGGGGCCGGAAGGCGCGGCCTCGAAACCCCCCTCCCCTCCTTCATGAGGGGCCTCCGCGGTCGAGATCCCCCCCTTGCCTGGACCCCCGCCCCCGCCCGCGACGGAAATACGGGGGCCCCTGAAGGTAGAAAGGGGGCCCCCCCGCCGTGGATGGGGCCACCAGGTGGCGGGTTTCTCGATTGCCCCGTGACCGCGCTACTGCCTGGGGGCGCACGCTGCACAGGGGCCGCCGCCAGGCCCCGCCCGGCACGTGACGCGGGGCAAACGGTCGACGGCCCCTGAGCGGTCATGCGCTGCAGCCTCGGCCCGCGGCGCCGCGCCAGGCGGGGCCTCCAGCGGGCCGCCCGCGGGCTGCCGCCTCCTCGCCGGCGCCTCTCCCAGATGATGGCCCCGCGGAACACTTGGCGGGCCTTCGCCGCGTCGCCCACCCCGCGGCGCTTCGCCTCCCCTGGCGATGCGCCGGTCACCCGAGGGATCCGTCGCGTCCTGCGCCCTCGCGTCGCTGGGAGAGCCCGCGCCCCGATGCGCTTCCGCGGGGGGGCCCTTCCCGCCTCAGGACTGCGCGGCGGCCGGCAATCCGAATCGCGCGGGCTTGGAAGCGGCCCCGGAGGGCCGCGTGAAGCCGCGCAGCTGCCCTCCTCCACGTGATGCCGCGCAGCTGCCCTCCTCCACGGGCCGCCCCTGGTCTCCCTGCAAGCGCGCGGGCACGGCTCCCGTACCGAAGGCTCGCATGGGGCCCGCCCCCGCCGCTGCCCTCCTCCGCAGGCTGCCCCAGGCGTCGTCTCCTGCGCGCGGGTGCACCAGTGCGAGACTGCCCCGCGCCCTAGCCCTCGAACGTGATGGGCGTCGCGAGCTCCCGCCCCCTGCCCAAGCTCCTGCCGCTCCCTCTCTCTGCCCGAGCCCGATGCGCTGGAGGCCCAGGCGTCTGCGGGCCCCGGGGGCGGTCGTTCCCCCGCGGGGCCGCCCCCGCTACGTCGTGGGCGCCCTCGCCCGATCGCCGCCTCGTTCGCCGCGGGCGGCGCCGCGTCGCCCTGCGCTCCGGGCGCCGATGGGTCGCGGAGCCGGAGCCGTCAGCGAGGGCGACTCCGTGAGAGCGGCCAGCTTCTCGCTCCGAGCCGATCGCCTCCACGTCGTCGGCGCGGACGATCGAGCTGCCCCGCGGGCCGCGCGCTGTCCGCGAATGGAGACGCGCTTCGGCGAGGCACCGCCCCGGGATGCCTGCGGCTCCAAGGAATTGCCGCGCGCCTCGCCCTCGAGTTCGCCAGCCGGCGCAATCCGCCCCCGCCCCCATGCCTCGATGGGCCGCGGCGCAACTCTGGCGTCGGCGATGAGCGAGACGAAGGCGTCGCGCCGGGCCCCGCAACAAAAACCGAAGGTAGTTCCCCCCCCGACCTTCGCGACCCTGACGGTTCCTGCATCCACTTCGATGACCCATCTGACCTCGCGCCCGGGGAAGCGCGCAGGCCGCCCCTTGCCGCTTGCGCCCCCCAGGCCCACCGACCCTGCCGTCGAGCAGCGACGCATCCTGACTGCCCTGGTCGTTCTGTCGTTTCCTTCCGTCCACGGGGCGCTCTAGGTTGAAGGGGCCCCAGGACACGCAAATAAATACACACAAATCAAAATATTCTCCATATTTTCCTATATTTTCTGGGTTTTGGTCTTCCCCCCACTTCCCATATTTTCCTAAATTTTCCTGGGAATCGACGATTAATTGTGTCTGTGTGTTTTTTCCCCTCCTGATAGGTCGCCGACGGCCGCGGTCCTCCACGCAGCCGGCCCCGGCGTCTCGTCTCTGGCGCCGCCCATACTGGGCGCCTCCCGGCCAGGCGCGCGGCCGCGGGGGGTGCGGGCGACCCGCCGGCGCGCGCAGGCGGGGCCCCCGCCCCGCAGGGTCGCGCAGAAAAGCAACCCGCGCCTCGCCGCCGCGGCCTCCGCGCGCCCCGGTTCCCGGTGAATCGATGCGCGCGCGCCCCGCGGCGCCGCCCCTCGCCTCCGTCTCCGGGAAGGGGCCCCCCGGAGGAGGAGGAGGAGGAGGAGGAGGAGGAGGAGGAGGAGAGAGGAGGAGGAGGAGGAGGAGAGGAGGAGGGAGGAGAGGAGGAGGAGGAGGAGGAGAGGGAGGAGGGAGGAGGGAGGAGGGAGGAGGGAGGAGGGAGGAGGGAGGAGGGAGGAGGAGGAGGAGGAGGAGGAGGAGGAGGAGGAGGAGGAGGAGGAGGAGGAGGAGGATCGCCCGGCAGCGTGATCCAGCGAAAGCCCCCTCGAGCCCCCTCTCGCGCCTCCGACCCGCGGCGGCCCATCTCCGCCGCAGCGCGGCGCCTCGGCTGCGCGAAGCTGGCCTCCGCCGCCTCGCGGCCCCCCCGCGGCGGCGGGGCCCCTTGCGAGCGACTGCCCTGCAACCGCAGGACGCCCCATAAAAAAGTATTGAGATGAGAATTCTGGCGTCTGGGCCATTTGCGAACTGCGCGCGCCCTCTGGCACTTTGCGCGCCGACGTGAGCATGCGAGGTGCAGCGGGGCGACGGCCGCGCCCCACTTGTGAAGTAAAGTTGTTATGCCATGTCCCCGTCGATTGCGTTGCAGCGCAATGCATGGCGACATCACGGCGGGCCTCCTGCATGGGGGCGCGCCGATTGACCCCTTCGCCCTTCTACGCAGTGCGTGGGTGTGCAATCTGATTCGCCCGTATCTTTCGCGCGTGCAGGTGCTGTTCCCCGTTCTTGTTCGCGCTCCTGCCCAATGCTGTGGCGGCTGTGCGCTGTCAACATTTCGCGGCGCTTGCTCCGCCGCCCCATGGGCGCGCCGCGTGTCCCCGCGAGCCCGCCCGGCCACCCGCGCCTCGGCTGCCTCGCGTTGGGCCGACGCTCAATCACCCCGCGCGGTGCGCTACGATTTGCAATGACCGCGCGACCGAGCTTGAGGTGGCCAGGGGTCGCACTACACGCCCCGATCAACCCTTACTGGCCCCGTCGATGCTGCGAGGGGGAGGGCAAGCGCGGGGCTGGGCAAGGAGGAGAGGGGATGGGGAACGCGAAGCCATGGAACAATTATGGAAGAAGAGGACGAGGACGAGGAGGACTACGACGACGAGGAAGAAAGGACGGACGGACGGAGGGAGACGGAGGCAAGAGGTGGAGCGAGGGGGGGCAGGACGTGGAGTGACGCGTCTTGGGCGATGCATCTCGGCCGCTCGTTCGGGAAAGTCGCCGTCGCCGCTGCCTGAATCAGAATCGCACTGGGCTTTCTCAAGGCTGCGTAAACCACTTTGGGTGCTTTTCGGGCGCGCCCTGACGTTTTTGTCTTGCGCATCCTAAAATGTTTCGGGTCTTCTTCGTCGGCCGCGTGGGCCTTCCATTTTGCAGCCCAGGGTGTTTCTGGGATGGGCTCTGCCCAACTCAGGGGCTTCTCGGGGGCTTCTGGGCTGCCCGAGGCCTCGAGCGGGACTTGTTGGATGTCGGTCGGGCGTCTTTCTGGTTGTCTTGGCGGCCGCGGGCGTTGTCCTGATAACTTCTTGGGAATCCATCGAGGGGCATTCTGGGTCGCCTCGGGGGCCCGGTGAAAACGCGATGGAGGCGGCGCCATCATGCCCCC